GCAAATAGATAAACAAACCGAATTATGGGGAGTCAGTGGTATGTGTTTAACTCAGATCAGGCATAGCTGAATCCAGAAACGTAACCGATTTTTCCCTCCCTCTTCATCTCCCCCTCCTCCTTTTCCACTGCGTGGCCTCCCCTGCTTCTGCTTGCCAGAGCCTTACATGACAGCCATCTTCACGCCCACACTCTCCTCCTTCTAGCTGAGAAATCCAACAGGAAGAACGCTTCTCTGTTTCATCACCCATTTCCAGATCCCAGAGAAGTCTCTGATTGGCCCATCCTGGTCATGTGCTCACTGTACCTAAAGGCGCAGGAAGAATGGTCCCCATGACTGACAACCCCATGGTTGTCAGGGCCCTAGAGCAAGAGCTGAGCAGCTACAGCTCAGGGCTCACATCTGGCCTGCTGTCTGTTTCTGTAAACAACATTTGATTGGAACAGGGTCACCCTCAGTCATTTGCATTACAACGATTTGCATTACAATGGCAGGGTTCAGTAGTTGAGAGAGAAAGTGTGGCCTTCAAAGCCTACAATAATGGCTCTTGGTCCCTTTATGGAAAATATACATTGACCCCAGCCACAGGCAATGGGAGAGGAGTGAGCTCCCCGTCTGCTTAGAGCAAAAGCCAGCACCGCTTCTGATTGTGCAACCTTGGGGACAAGGCAACCTCACACTAGAGGTTCCTGGCCCAGCACTGTGTCCTTTGGGAGTGAGATGTAATTGGAGGCACAATTCTCCCAGAATGAGCCCAGTGGGGGACAAATCAGGGAGGCGCTCCACTCCCCTACCATAAACAAAGAGCTGACTCCAGAGTCACTCAATAGCAGTGAGCTCTTGATGAAGGGCAGACCGGAAAAAAAAATTAATAGAAACCCAGTGAAAGCAAAGCTGCCCCCTGGAACGAGGGCAGAGGAACAGAAGACTTTCGGCAGCTCATCCTCCCTTTTCTCCGCTGAGGTCCTGATGCAATTATGTCTCGGTCAGAAGAAAGTGCTTTTGCGTAGAGAGGAGAAAATGGTCCTTTTGCTCTGGTGCTGAAATTCCCCAGGGAGTTCAGGTACAGCTGCGGATGGCTGCAGCCCGGAACGCACTGGGTCCCCTGTTTGGGGCGGGTGGGGGAGGGGTGCTGTTCAGCAAAGCCGGAGAAACAAAATGTTTTCATCTTCATCAGCAGACGCGCTTCCAAAATAACCCTAATTGCTCGTAGAAGGTAGCATGCCTGCTTCTAACAGAACATTCTGAAGCCCAAGCAGAAAACAAAACCTGAGCCAGAGTGTGTCTGTCAAGAGCTCCTCGCTCTGTCGAGACTCCCCTCCTCCACCTGAAAACTGAGAGGATAACTCTTCCCCTTCTGTGGGTGTGGGACAAGCTGGGTCTGTAATGACTATTTATTTCTCCCCTTTGAATGAAACACTGTTTTCTGAAGGCCAAATAAGAATTCCAGAAGCAAGTGAGTGTGATGACTCATGCCTGTAACTCCAGCCCGCTGGGAGGCTGAGGCAGGAGGATCACAAGTTCAAGCCCACCCAGGCAATTTAGTGACTTAGCAAGACCCTGTCTCAAAATAAGAAAAGGGCTGGCAATGTACCTCAGTATGAAGGCTTTGGATTCAATCCCCAATACTACAAAAAAAAAAAGAAAGTCCCACATTTACCAACCACTTCCCCAGGCCAGGTGCCAAAATTATCCTCTCCTTTAGATGGGGAAACTGAGGCTTTCTGCTTCACCCGGTCAGGGGGGGTAGATCCAAGATTCGAACTGAGGTCTATCTGGCTTTACATCCCACGCTTTCACTTTACACTTGAGGGACCTGGGGCATCTAAAGGCTAGGTGAGGTGCCAGCAGTCTCATCCTGCTCCTGGCCCATTCTGTGCTCCAAAAGGCTTGGTCCAGCAGGAGCTTGAGGCTCAGGGACCCAAAAGGGCATCTGGGGGATGTAACTGGCATAGCATCACACTGCCTCTTACAGGAACCCTCTGAGGTTCTACTATTATACCCATTTTTCAGATGGGCAAACTGAGAGTGTGTGAGTCCAGCGGTAAGATAGTGAAGGGATAAATACAGGAGCCACTGCTTATTCTAAAGACGGATCCAAATACACCAGCAGGTTACCAGAGCTTGCCTGTTCTTCTAAACATCAGTCAGGCCTCATGGAAATCTATTCCTTTCCCTTTACATAAATTAGCATTAAAGCATTCAACAAGAGCCTATGCTAGAACTAGCCTGCCGCTGGGCTTTAAACTCTCCTCTAGGGCTTGCGACCTCATGGCGTGACTTAATCTTCCCTGGACCTGTTTCCCCACTGTAAAATAAGAAATTAAACAACAGTATTAGAGCTCTTCCTCTCTACTTCTCTGCCCCACCATTGTGTGGTACAGAGGGAACCACAGTCCACACCGCAGCACATGGGCAGTGGTCCAGGCTGGGTGAGGAGGGCATTGGTGTGGACAGCCAAGATGGCACATGGGTCACAAAAGGAAAGGCAGATAGTGACCAGGCTGGTCGTGCTGGATAAGTTAAAAGAAGGAGAGGTTTATCTTAGCTCACATTTCAGTCCATAGTCAGCTGCTCCAAGGCAGGACGGCATGGCAGAGGAGAGCGGCTCACAGCACAGAGGACAGGAAGCGGAGAGTAAGGGAGGAGCCGTGGGGACAGGCACCCTTCCAAGCCATGCCCCCAACGACCCCCTCTTCCGACCAGACCCCACCTCCTAGCAGCAAGATGACTGCAAGCCCCTCTGATCCAATCATTTCCCAAAAGCCCCATCTATGAGCACATGAGGCTTTGGGGGATCGCCAGACACAAACCACAGCACCCTCAAAGGGTGGGCACCCAATTACTGTAAGAACTTATATTTGTGGGAGCAAATAATGGTTAGACTGAGCCTGACTCACAAGAAGAACTCAGAACACCAGAGTCCCGCGGGATTGAATATCATGGGGAAACTTAGGCCAAGGAGAGGGTGGGGCTGACCCCAAGTTGCAGACCTGGTTAGCAGCTCTGTCTTTGGCTCTGTTTGTTTCTGCACTTCTGGGTCAAACCCAGGCCCTTGCACATATTAGGCAAGTGTTCTGCGACTGAGCTGCACCCACCGACGCCGGGCACTTTCACCACCTCCTGACTTCAGTCCAGTCCCACACCAAGAGTCATAAATTTCCACCACGGCATCAGATGGAGTTTTTTAAAAAAAAAAAAAAAAAAAAAAACGATCTAAAATAAAAATGTGCCTGGAGCACCAAATAGTAAATCTCATCACTCTCAGAAAGAATGGACATAAAACTGCCCAGCTCTAACAAGGAATAAATAAAATGGAATGTAGCAACATCCAGCCTACCCAGAGATGCGGCATACTCTACCCGGAAGGGCCGCACAAGTAAACAACGCTGGTTTTCAATCTCTGTAAGTGAGAAGCCAATTGGCAATTCCATATCTGAGAATGTCCCCCAAGGAAACCACCCTGAACAGAAGAGCAAGAGCATTCTGTGCCAGGCACGCTCCCATATGAGGAAAAACGGAAAAGAGCCAAGGTGTCCGTTACCCGGGAATGGTCAGCCGCTCTGCACCTCACAGAACATCATCCGGACGTAACGAATTGTGTTTCTGGTGCATTTATGGGAGGTACTGCGTCATCGGGTCAAGGTGAGAAACCCAAAGGATGCTGTACAGAACCGCATGCAGTGTATGTTGTGATCACAGCTGTGATGAATTAAAAACCGTGCCCATAAAAATGCCAGGGTGAACACAGAGTATTCGCACGATTATCTCCATCTGTCTCTTCTACTGTATTCTCCAAGTTACCCACAATGATCGACGTACTTTAGAAAACTAAATTGACTATTTAAACATATTTTAGAATATCAGGAGTGTAGTGAGTTTTTCCTCTTAAAAATCAGTCATATTTGGCAAAATGAATAATGACAATGACAATAATTCACATTTATTGAGAAATTATTGCCATTCTCCGGACTTGACTTTTTTTTTTTTGTACTGCGCATTCAACCCAGGGCTTCTGCACAGAGCTTCGTCTCCAGCTCCATTTTTATTTTTCATTTTGAGACAGGATCTTGCTAAGTCACCAAGTTGCCAAGGCTGGGCTCAAACCTGCCATCTCCTCCCTTTGTCTCCCAGAGCTCTGGGACTGCACGCGTGCACCATCAGATCCAGTTTCCACATTTGACTTTTATTAACTCAAACTACGGTTCACAGGCTGTCCCAGCTCTACCTCCTCCTGCTGTCCCTTGACCTCTTTGCTGCCTATCATTAGATGAAGCTCAGCCTCAAACACAAGTGAATGAATGGATAAATGGCGTAGCTGTCAACTAAATAAAGATCCAAGAGGCTGTAGCCAGAAATTTCATGTTTAACAACAAGCAAGGGTACAATTAATAGGAAATTACATCCATCGGCAAGAATTATTTGCAACTGAAAGGAACTCAAACCATTTTTCTATTTTAATACTCTTGGTACACTGATGAATAGTGGAGAAATGCCGAAACAGAGGAATGGGAATGGCAGTATAGTTTAAACACTGACGCTTAATAAACTGGTGCTTTTTTAGCCTCACATAAGATAACAGCATGTATCACCCAGTGTGGAGAGAATATAAGAGATCTAAATTGGAAGGCTTTCATGAAACTTGGCCCAGGCCTAGTTCCCCGTGTTGTAAGCCTTGGCCCACTGCGCCTACAGAAGCATCAGTCCACCAGGACTAGAGGTGAGTCCCGTCCATGATCACAGCACCAACACAGCAAGTGCCTTCCCGGCCACTTCTCCTCCCTTCTTGCCTTTTGCCAAATCTTGTTTGGTCCACAGATCCACCTACTTTTTCTAGTTCTCTTCGGCTATATAATGTATGATCCCAAAATTCAGTCACTTAAAATCACAATCATTTGTTTTGCTCACAGATCTGCACCTTGGGCAGAGCTCAGAGAAGAAGCTCATCCTCGCTCCGCACAATGCCATTAGGAGCAGCTTGGCCAGAGCTGAAGACTCACCTTCAAGACGGTGGACCCAGCTTCAAGATGGCAGACTCACATGCCAGGCCAGATGGTGCAGGCTGTCCACTTGGAGCTCAGCCGTGGCTGGAGGCTGGAACCCTTGGTCTCTCTCCACCTGGGACTCTCCAGAGGCTGGGCCTCCTCGCGGTAGATGCTGGCTTCCAAGACTCTGCGTCCCAAGAAAATCAGAGGGGAGCCATATTGAGCTTTCATGATTAAGTCCCAAGCTTGCCCCGAACCAGGGAGGGAAACACAAACACCAACACGCAGGGAAACAGGTTCAAAGCCACATTAGAGGAAGAGCGTGTGAGATGAAAGTGTACCTGGAAAATGCAGTGTGCCACAAGCTTTCAGGACAATTATCCTGATTATCCCTGATTACAGGGACAATTATCTTAACAAGTCCATCTTTCTGGTTCCCTGACTTTCAGACCAACTTGGATATGTGATGCTGCTGTACCCAGGGAGATCTGACAAGTCTGCTGGCATCTTTACTCTTCTGTGGCTGTTCATGACACTGCATCTGAAAATGACATCTAGAATGGGGAAAGTCCTCTCATCGCCGTGATAGCTGCTGACATCAAGATGACCAAGGAGACACGTGAGAACAACAATGTTTCTGGTGAAGTCGTCCTGGTACTGAGTTAATCCTGGAGTCTCTATTCGCTGAGATGATAATTCTTACTGTTTTACCCAGGTGGACTGGGTTTTGTTTGTCTGCTTTTGGTCATAACAGATGCAACCTGACTGTCTTGGTCTGTTTGCTGTTGCTGTGGCAAGATACCAGGGCCTGGGAAATGTATAAAGAGAAAAATATTTATCTCTTATAGTTCCAGAGACTGGGAGGTCCAGGATCAAGGAGCCAGCATCTGGTGAGGGCCTTTGTGCTGCGTCATAACACAGCAGAGGGCATCCTGTGGGGACAGCAGGGGAGTTGTCCTCAGGCCAGCTTGGATTTCTCTTGCTATTAAGCCTCAGCTCCATCCCAAGGCCTCACCTTCATGACTTCATCCAACCCTAACAACCTCCGAAAGGGTCCACTTCCAACTATCGTCAACATCTGAAGTTGAGGATTAGGTTTCTAATACATGAACTTTTGAGGACACATTCATTGATATGTACCAACTCATTGATACAAATCGCTACCAAGCCGGGCGTGGTGGCACACGCCTGTAATCCCAGCACTCGGGAGGCTGAGGCAGGAGGATCGCTGTGAGTTGGAGACGAGCCTGGGCTACACAGTGAGTTCCAGGTCAGTCTCAACTACATAGTGAGACCCTGTCTCAAAAAAACCAAAACAAATGGCTACCTTTTACTAAGCATTTACTATGTATGCACAGCAAGGCAGGCATGGTGGCCCACGCCTATAATCCCAGCATTAGGGAAGCTGAGGCAGGAGGATCACTGAGAGATGGAAGCCAACCTGAGCTACTTAGGGAATTCAAGGCCAGCCTGAACTACAGAGAGACCTTGTCTAGAAAACTATAACAACAAAATCATACTATTATGGACCCACAGCACACGGCACTGACAACTCCCCTGCCTCTCCGCTAAGCAGTGTACTTCCTTGTCAATATCCCTCACAGCCACCCATGAGGCGGACAATGTTATTAACCACGTTTCACAGATGGGAAATTGAGGCTCAGAGACAATATTAAAACCCCTCAGGTCCCAAAGCTCATCGTGGTGGGGCTGGGGTTTGGTCCTGGGGCGGAAGCCACTGTGTCTCACCCCATTTCCGCTGTCTGCGAGCTGTCTGGTCCCAGCCCCCTGCCTCCCAAACCCCACTCCTATTTACAAACTGATTCAGAGAGCAGCTGTCGCACCCAGGAACTTATGAATCAGATCTACGAACAGCAATTGCAATCTTTGAACAATTCCGTGAAGACACTTAAGAACCATCCTATGAAATCCAAAGCAGATGTGATTTATCCCAAGGATGGCAACTCGAGCTTCTGCTGAAGTGCAAAGATGAAATTTGTGGAGAAGAAGCACTCTCAGCTATGAAGCACCCTACACCTGCTCCCCAAAAGCAAGATCCTAATTTAGTTCAAGCACTACTTGCAGAATTTTTTTTTTAATTTCCAGTTGTGATCATCTTAAAACACGGTTCAAGTACTTTGCTCCAGGGCTCTGAGTGCAGCATGCAGAGAACAAGTTTTCCTAGCGATGAACTGTATGAATAGAGAAAGTGTTCTGATGATTTATACCCAGAGAATCTAGAAAAAGCCACAGAGATAAGGGCGTCCTTTGATAAGACAATCAGATGCTGTGACCGAGTGTCCTAACTCTAAACAGAAACTCATAGATGCTGATGCTAGACAAAATGACCTTGTCCCACGGGGTGAAAACAACCAGAGATGGTACTCGGGGTCATGTGGGGACGAATGTTGCCTCTGGGTCTCATCGGCTTCATTAGAACACCTCTCTGTCTCTCCATATTTGACTTCCCAGTTAAAGTCCTGCAGAGTACAGCTCCCCAAAGCTCAACTTGAAAAGCTTAAAAATTAAAAAACAAAAAACAAAAAAAAACCCCAAGAATTTGTTGTCTCGGTATCCAGACAATGATGGAGGCGCTCAGGTTCAGCTGAGCCAGGACACAACTCTCCTCGCAGTGTGGTTCTCTCCCGAGGCTTTCTTAACAGGCTGTGGCGAGCCACAGTTACCACCGGTGTCAGCCAACTACCACGTTTTCACTAACTTTCCTAGCGGAGAGCAGGCTTTTCTCCCACTCGCACAAGCTTTTTGGGTTGAGGAACCTCATCTACTCAGCTACAGACGAGGAGGAAGAACTGTGTGACTTCAGACACTGAACTTCACTTCAGTAAGATGTGCTCTGGTCTACTAGACGGGGGAAATCTTCCACTCCCAAGGGAGCTTTCTAAAGATTAAACAGAAATGTGTATTTTAGCACCTGCTATGCAGCAGGTATAAAATGAACAGCAGTTTCTGGTGCTGTGCGGGCAGGTGTGAGAGGCTGTGTGTGTTACAGAGGCTCAGACGCTGCGGCCATTTGCTGTCGCATCTCCGGCATGCAGCAGGTGGACGAGATGCACTTAGGAGCCAATCATCTTGGGTTTAAATCCCGACTTCATCTCCTACTAACTGTGTGGCCTTGGGCAAGTCATTTAACCTCTCTGTGCCAGAAAAAACAGGAGTAATAATATAACCTGCTGTGTAGATTGCAAAGATTATGACCCTAGTCACTGAAAGCATCCTGTTCTGTCTGAGCAGTAACTTGAAAGCTCGAATTCTGCTGCTCCCAGAACAGAGCTCGGAAGCCACAGTATTTTACTGTGCAGCTATGAAATCAACAGCACGGGTGGTGCAGGCAGGCAGCAAGAGGCAAAAATTCAATGCTGACCTTTTCCAAATTTTCTTTCCCCGGTGCCAATGCAATCAAAGGGCTGCAACCCAATATTCCTCACTTCCTACGGGGAGATTAGTGGTTGTAGGGTTCTCAAAGCACAGAAAATAGAGATGCACCCTAAACCCACTACACCCTGTTTCTCAGCCAAGCTGTTTAACGAGTGACTGTTCGACACACAGAGTAACGCGAGTCCGCTACAGCCACCCCAACTCTGCTGGGAGGAGGGAGGGGAGAAAGTGGCAAAGGAGGGGAAACCCAGGACGCTGGAGGGAGCCCGCGGAGACCAGAGCATCCCTGTTGCTTCGTCATCACCATCACCACGCCTCAGAGTCTCAGGAAGCTCCTGAGACTTGCAAAGGCGTCCAGTTCTGCGGCCATAGCTGCCCGCCTCCCCAGAACGGCCAGCGCTCAGGCCTCTCCGGCAGCTCACTCAGCAAAACTGAGAGGACTAAGCATCGATTGCCCCCAGCTGGGTTGGAGAGAGGAGGCACTGAGTGTCTCAGGATAAGGTGTCCAGGAAGGAAGGGGAGGGAGGCGGGGAAGCAGCTCAGAGTGGGAAGATACAGGGGGTCTCGGTGAGCACCTCTTCCTCAGGCGGTGTCACACGGCAGGCGAATCTTTAAATCCTGTGCTGTGTGACTTCTGATGAGTTGCCAAACCTCTCTGACTTCCATTTCCTCAGATATACACAGAGGTCACTGCCCAGAGCTGCTTGTGCTACGAGAGGTTCAGTCACGCCCCAGCAGACAAATCAGCACCCACCCTCAGGCAGACGTGACCACTCAGACCAGCGAGTTGGGGTCACCGCCTCGCCCGGCCTGGATGCGACACAGTCATTACACCTCAGGGCTCCATGTGGGTCCACTTGCTGCACAAACCCATATCCCATGCCCACCCCAGGGGTCCTGAGGCTGCCACCTCCTTAGGCCCAGATGGAGACCCAGGGTCAAGGAGGTTGGAGCCCATGCTCAAATGCTCAGCGTTGTCAAGGTGAGGCAGGGTCGCACGGGCTCTGCCTCGGCCCCACGCAGTCTCCCAGCGAGTGACCTGTAAGCACTTTGTAGGGGACGCCAGGGCCTTTTCCCAGGCCCCACATGAGTGGGAAAAGCTGCAGCGCCTTCTTTAACCTCAGGCCCCTATCTCCACATGAGGGGTGACGCAGTGACCTTCTTCTGCCTTTGCTGCACCAAGAAACTTGGATAGAGATGCAGGCTCCAGAAATAGGGGTCCTGCTCCCCTCTGGGAGCTTGGCATATTCAAGGCTCTGAGAAGTCCTGTAGAACACCATGCTATTTGATACAAAATTTTCCAGACTTTTTCCATCCTGAAACCTCTCGGGGAATATTGGTTTTCAAGAAATTCATGTTGCCCAGAACACATGAGAAGTTAGTGCTGCAGAGGACACATGTGGAGAAATGCTAGGTTAGGGACTGACTAGAGAGAGGACTGTGCAGCTGGTCTGTCGCTTAGGCTGGGAGAACTGCGTGGCCACCTCAGTGGGCTGTGTGGTCCCGGTCACCAGGGTGGGTTGTGCAGGACTCTCAGTGGCACACTTGGGGTCCTGAGCCGACACCACCGAGAGCCACTGCGGGATCCCAGGACACAGTCGGCAGGTGCGGTCTGGGCCGGAGAGAGGCTGCCTGGAGGGGCCCCTCGTCATGGTTTCACTCTTAATCGTAAGCTGTGCGATGGAGGCGGCGGCAGCAGGAAGAAAACAGAGATGCTAGTGTGACACGGGATCGATTTACTCCACATTCAAACAATGTCTCTTTGGGTTTCGGAGGAAACAGGCGGGGACG